ATTATTATTACTTACGTTATAGTCTGTGTCCTAGTTCAAAATTGTAAAGTAATGTGGTTTGACAATAAATTTCTTTACGCCATAATGGTATATTACGCACCTAGTGAGCGAGGTTAAGAATGTCTTGTATTTCACGTGAATAAACGTGGATAACGCGAGATCTAGGGCATTTCTTAACCTCCGAACTTGTTGCGTATACTATTTTTCTGCATACCCTCGCTGAAAGAGCTGATTATCTGTATTGGAGTAGGGCAGGTATGAAGCACTTTCGGCGGGGGTATGCAGAAAAATCTCAGAATCTTCCATCTCAGTATTAGTTTTGTGTGTTTTTAAAACAACTACTTTTATAAAAATTGTATGTTATAGTAATCAGTGGCTCCAAATAAATGATGAGTCCAAAATTTCCGGAAAAATTAATCTTTCAAATGCTCGCAATTGTGTTTGGGTTCTCTAATTAAGACATCATGACTGTATTCTTCAAAAGTACCGTTCATGGCAACAATTTTTCCAATTTTTTGCCAGGCTTTCCAAAATTAAATGTAGAGTTCATATGTAACGCTTTTCAATTCAGTATCTTCGCAAAGTGTTTAGTTATCGACTCGGATATACATATCATGATCTTGATTGTACGACGATTTTCTCAAAGCCCGTAACGCTACCGATTGAAATAATAATTGAAAATTTTTTTCCAGCGCAACGAATAAAATGATTTCTTGTTTTGGTCAATAACAATACAAAGAATAAAATGGGAAATATTAAAAATTTCTTTTTACTTTTAACTCCATTCAGCCTGTGAAATACTCTGGTGTTCGTGAAATGACTCGTATAGGATACTTAGTACTTGTAATATTACTGACACAGAGTGCGAGTTTTAACTTATTTTCCTTTAAAAAATACTGTAGTCAATAATAAACTTCCAATATCATAGAATCTCGAAAAGTAGAAGTTTTTCGTAAAGTAACAACTTATTTATAACGTTGTATTCCATTAAAGGGAACCTTTATGTCATATAATTAAATTAATCAAGTTCATCTGTTGTCCAGCTAGCCAAATTAATGTGCATTATTATAGTTTTTATTTTTTATTTTTCTCTCATTCAAGAAAATTTCGATAAGAAAAGGCCGAACACAGCTTTGCCAGATAATTAAGGGCTGATTTTTGTTGCTCTTGGAAATTTACAACATATTATAATTGATATTAATAGTAATTTCTGGTCAAAATCAAGTGATGATGAAAAGCCTGTTACTTCACCCTTCAAATTCTTTAATACAATTTCCTCTCTGGCAGTAAAACATTAGAAAAGGTGTAAAGAAGAATCTACATTTTTAGCTTATAATTCGTTGAGTAAAGGTGAGTTGGAGACTTTTTTCTCAAGAACAACTGTATTGGTTTTTGACAAAAGTAAATGTCCTAATTTTCGGAAATCGAACAGGATATAGGTTTTGACAGACGAGATTTTGAGACTTCACCACGTTACGACGAAACGCTTTGTACAGTGCTGTGCATTGTTCAACGAAAATTGGGTGTCTCATGACTCGGTGTTTAGATCGAGTGATAATCTGGCAGCTTGACGGAGGTCTTGCTTGGGTAAGTCCAATCCTTGAAGAGAATGCATACATTACTTAGATTGCTTTTCTCGAACCTTCGGATAACCCTAAGCCTTTTTGCTTTTTGTGGACCGTTTGTCAGTTAAGACAATTCTTTTTTTTCTTTTGTTTTGACAGTTGATCTCCATTAAATAATTGTAGAATATATGATTTAAGGGTGATGAAAAAAAATTTATAGTTTTTTGAAAACAAGATAAATGACAAGTTGGGTGATAACTCGAGTTTGTACTTCAACTTAAAGTCGGATTAAATTTTGAAATTTGTGCTCAGTCTAGAACATAATGAACGAGAGCGTAGCCTGGTTGCTATCGAGCGAGGTAATCGTGACCAGTCTGATGTAAGTTTACGCCAGAGCAAGGATGACTTGTTACTAATCAGGAACAAAAAGCGCGAACTGTCATTTGATGTGGATCAGTGGTACGAGGGATGGATACCGTCTACAATGGATGAATTTCTGAAAATAATAAATTTCTATCCTAATAGCATCTTGTGTTACAAGACGCGAAAAAAAGAAGCATCAAGAGATCATCTTGTGCTCATACAAGACCAAAACGTTACAGGAGTTTCGTAACAAGGGCCCACACTCCCTAGATGAATTATTTTTCCCTAGTTCCCTAAGCTTAGAGTGGTTGGGTATAACAAAACAAATTGATTTTTGGGATCACCCGAACTGAGCAGACTGAACTTCTTCGAGAAATCAATGAGGCTGGTGCTCTTCTATTAACCAGACCCACTGAAACTTATCGTAGATGCCTTTGTGCTAGCCTGGTACTATTCGATTCCATTCCCCAAAATTATAGTTTAGAAGCAGATGAATCAACAGCGCGAGAAATGTTATCGTTCTTTTTGGAGCATGGGTTGACCAATTTTTTACATCGATGTGCCACCGAGTGGTCGGGTGATAGTACGGCTTATTTATCCGTTGAATTTCTGTGGTGGAGTGTAAAATGTCCATCAGAAATAAAAGTGATCGTCAATCATTTATGCGTGCCTTTTTTCGACTATTCTTTGGTACCAACATTAACGAGTCGGTGATTAGAACATTAAGGAACTGTGTGCAGAAAATTCAGGGTCTGGCTACGGTTGTATCAAGATTATCCAACGCTGCGGACGATTTGATCAGAAACAAAAAGGCCTTACAAAGAATATCGATGAAGTTAACAAAAAAATAGCGGAAGCTCATCGACAAATCTGCAGCCCTAAACTTGAATGGTCTTACGCCTTACCTACGAATATATCTTCAACGATTTTGTACCAAAAATAATATTAATTTATTCAATTGTTTTTTTCGATTCGGATGAATTAAAATCAACTTATAGTAGTCATTTAGAGAGCCCCCATAGACTTAATATGAGGAAGATATGCAGTACACCGTTAGTGCTGCGTAAAGAGACTCGTCAAGTAAGCGGATTGACTCGGAAAATGTCAAAATCAATTTTAAAAATCCAGCGCAAATCGTGTTCGCCCAGCTGTAATATCACTCAGGTAAGGAAAATATATCACAAAATCTGTTGTACAGTTATAGGGCTACCAAGCCTGTAAATATATATTGTAAGG